CGTGATTTGTCCATGACTCGAGTGGGTCTGGGGAGGACGACGGATAGGACGAGGGAGTCTGGGGGGGGTATTGGGGAGTTGGATCCTGGATCCTCTGCATTCCCGCCGCCTCGTTTCTCCCCCCGTGCCCCCTCCAGGAGGGGGACGAGGAAGGGGCCCCCGCCTCGCCATTACTCCTCCGAGAAGCGAGGACGAGGAGGAGGGGTAGGAGGAGGAGGCGGAGGAGGAGGATAAGGAGGATGAGGAGGAGGAGGAGGAGGAGGAGGAGGAGGACGAGGCGGAGGAGGAGGCGGAGGAGGAGGACGAGGAGGAGGAGGCGGAGGAGGAGGACGAGGAGGAGGATAATGATGAGGAGGAGGAGGAGGTCGATGAAGAGGAGGACGGAGGAAGAGCTCCGAGGGAGGAGGCTGGAGCAGGCGGCGCAGGGGGCGCCCACAACGCGCGGCGAGCCCGCGCGCCTGCCCGCCCCCGGCAGGGGCTCCTGGACGGGCTCGGCCTGCCGCCCTTCGCGCGCGGGAGACCTCGGGTCTCGTCCTGGTCGTCGTCGGCGTCGTCGTCGTCGGCGTTGGCGTTGGCGTCGGCGTCGGCGTCGGCGTTTGCGTTGGCGTCGGCGTCACCGTCGTGGTCCGCGCAGCCGTCGTGGGGTATCGGGGTCGTGGCGTCGCGGTCGGCGCAGTCGGCGCGGTTACAGTTGTCGTCTGCGCCGTGGTCGTGGTCGCCGTGGCCGTGGTCGGCGTCGTCGTGGTCTTGGCATCGCTCGGACGTGTGCATTTTTCTCCACGAGGCCAGCGCCAGAAAATGTGGACCATTAGGGGGCATGTTGGGTCGCCTCGCGGCACATTCCCCGCACGAAGCCGACAAGTGCATGGGGAATGGACGTCCGAGCGATGGCGAGGCAAGAGTTGCGCGGGTTTGTGCATGTTGTCGCGCGGACACCACAGTGCAGTGCTGGTGGCCGTTGGTCGTCATGCCCTGGCATCATGGTATTCGTCCATCTCGTAGTTCAGCATGTTCGTCGCCCATCATCGCTGAGAGGTTTACGGGGGGAACCTTGCCGAACCCGGAGGCTATAGCGTCCGAAGTGACCTGTTGAGCTAAGAGGAAGGAGGGACGCGCGCGCGTTTTTTTCTAGCGCGAGCAGCTTGCGCCCTCGATCCGTAACAGCCGCAGTCTGGCCGTTGCACTCAGTATCGTTTAACCGACCCCCATCCCCATCCCCATCCCCTTCGAGACCCCCACCAAATTACCCCCCTATTGGGGATACACCTCTCGAAACCCGAAGGCAACGGCCTATATCCCCATCCAGGGGGGTAAATCGGCCAGCGGGGCCCAGGCCACGCCGCTTGGGATGGGGATCGGATAAACGATGCTCAAGCACTGGCTCGGCGCGCGGACACATCAGTTCAGAGCTGTTGGGCGCCGTCCAGGTGTGTGGGCGACGGATCGGGACCGCAGGTCGTTGAAGCTATGTGCAGCGCGGGGGGATGTGCACAGTGGTGCAGGGCTGAACCAAAACGCTGTTTTATTGGACGTCGGCTGTGCTTTGTGTTTCGTTTTGGGCAGGGAGGTGCAGAAGAAAACAGGTAGAGAAAAGCGAACAGCAAAACGAAACCAAAACGAAAGACAACGTTTAGGTCCAGCCCTGCGGTGGTGAGCGTGACCCACACCTGTGGGTGCGATCAGTCTTGGGCGGGGATCTGTCATAGCAGCTGCCTGGGGGATCGATCTTCGGCGAACTCGGCAGGCGGTGGATGGGGACGTATTCGGGCCCTCCTGGGGCCGAACCATATCCATGTCACCCGCCCGCCTGGGGTCCCAGGACGCTGGTTCCCCGGGCGATGGATGCAGATCAGAGTAAGGTGGCCGAACGGTCATTCACCGTCCGTGGGTGCGTGGCTGAAGTGGAGCTCGCGGTGCGGATTGTTGTTGCATTCTTGCGTTGCGTTGCTGCATTGTTGCCTGCGCCGTCGCCCTGGAACCACCCGCAGCTCACCCGCGACCCGCCCTGCGACGACCTCGCAACCCACCCCGCAGCCCACCCTGCGACCCACCCGCGACCCACCCGCGACCCACCCACATTGCTTTGACGAAAAGATTGCCGCCTGCGGCGGGCTCGGTGTCTAGCGCATGAAGAAGCGACGCCTGCGGCGGGCTTCTGCAGAGCGTCGCAGACTGCTGACGACCCCGCCGCCCACTCACTCTCATCCGCAGTTGCGGGGTGCTAGGTGAATTCCCTCCCCCCGCCATCAGGTCCGCGCGTTGCCGAAGGTCGGTGCGTGGCTGTTGGTGTGTTCCCTAGCGCAGCTGGCAGCAGTTGGCGGCGAGCTCAGGGGGCAGTGAGAGGGGGTAGGCCTGCTCAGAATGCGGCCAGGCTTCTCAGAAGCCCTCGCGCCTTCTGGGAGGTGTTCCAAGCCTTCTCCGAAGACAGGGACGGCGTCCTCTGAGAAGCCCCCCCACCTTTGAGGAAGGCCCGCCCCCTCTCACCTCCCCCCCTGGGCTCTCCGCCGAACCAGCCTCGACCCAGTGAGCGTGATCGCACCAGCAGAAAGGTTCGGCGTCGAGCTTGGGTGGAAGGGAAAAGAAGGGGGGCCTTCTCAGAAGGTTCGGGAGATTTTTGGGGCTTTTGAGAGGTATTCAGAGCTTCCCCCGAAGTCACAGAAAACTGTTCAGAAGGATGGAAGGTTCTGAGAAGCCCCGCCGCCTTCCGAGAAGGCCTCTTCCTTCTCACTTCCCCCCCTCGCTCGTCGCCGACTGATCGAGGGTTGCTACAGATGCCTCTGGCCCAAGGTGCCCCCCAGCTTTTCGCTGGTCCCGTCCTCGCCAGCTCCGTCGTCATCGTCGCCATGGGCGTCTGCGCTGTCGTCGTCGTCGACCGTCGCTCTCGTCCGTCTCGGAGTCGGCGCCAGCGTCGTTGCCCGTGGGGGCGCCGTCGTCGGAGAGTCGGGGGTTGCTAAAGGTGCCCATGGCCCAGGGTGTCCCCAGCTTTCCGCTCCACTTTGGAGCCCCATGGGGCCCGCTGGGCCTCGTGAGGGGTGCTCCTTCGAAGTCCTCTAGAGCCTGGATCCCCGAAGCTAAAGCAAGGAACAAGGGCATTAGCATAAACTGTCGGCCCTCCGCGCGCATTTCTCTGCGCCAAGTATCAAGCAGTGGCGAAGGGTCCTGGCTCGCCCATAGGCCCACCAAAGAATGTTCTAGGAACCTTTCGTGGTCTGCACGAAATGTTCTTAGAACATGTCTGGCTTGGACTGTCTTGTTGCAGGGGTGGGCCTAATGGTGTTTTGGCGATTTCGTGGGCCGTTTTCGTTTCGATTTCGTTTTGCGGTACAGGCGGAATGAAGACAAAACGAGGGAAACCGAAAACAAAACGAAAACGAAAAACGCAGTTTAGGTTCAGCCCTGTCTTGTTGTAGCACAGCGGGTTTTGTTCTTAGAGCATCTCTGGGTTCGAAGACCATGTCGTGGTAGGCCTGTGGGAGTGCCAGGACGGTCGAAGCGCTGCTCGGGCCACGCGCGCGTTTTTCGCTGGACCACGACGCCTGCGACGACGAGGACGTGTGCGAGGAGGGCGGCGGGGGCAAGCAGGGAGGAGGAAGAAGTGGAGGAGCAGTGAGGGGGGGAGGGAGGAGGAGGCGGAGGAGGAGGAGGAGGGAGAAGAGGAGGAAGAAGAGGAGGAGGAAGAAGGTGAGGAAGAGGAGGAGGAGGGGGGAAGAAGAGGAGGGGCAAGGGGAGAGGTGGAGGAGGAGCACGGCCTTTCAGGCCCGATCGTCGCCTCAGCTCATGGGGACAGCGACAGCAGCGGCAACAACACATTCGTCGGAGGTGAGGAGGTGAGATCGAAGTGGAACGGAGAGCCCCCCTACCGGGAAATCGATTTCGGTTTCGTGTTCGTGCGTGCCGTGCGTGCGAGGCGAAGCTGCGTGGGCGGGCGAGAGAAAGTCTCCTGTGGCTGAGGCGCGGCCGGACCAAATGTCTCCCTTCCGGGCGGCCGGGGCCCCGCGGTGTCCCGCCGGTGTCCCGCTGGTGTCCCGTGTGGCTGAGGCGCGGCCGGACCAAATGTCTCCCTTCCGGGCGGCCGGGGGCCCGCGGTGTCCCGCCGGTGCCCCGTCGGTGTCCCGATTATGGTGATGATATGATGATGATGATGATGATGATGATGATGATGATGATGATGATGATGATGATGATGATGATGATGGTGGTGATGATGATGATGATGACGATGTTGATGTTGATGTTTTGTTTTGATGATCGATAGTGAGATCGGTAGTGATATCGATTGTGAGATCTCGATTGTGAGATCGATTGTGAGACCGAATGTGAGATCGATAATGAGATCGATAGTGAGATCGATTGTGAGACCGAATGGGATATCGATTGTGAGATCGATTGTGATATCGATAGTGAGATCGATAGTGAGACCGAATGTGAGATCGATTGTGGAATCTATTGTGAGGTCGATAGTCAGATCGATTGCGAGATCGATCGATTGAGTTAGTAGTGAGATCACTATCGGTAATGAGATCGGTAGTGATTTCGATAGTGAGATCGATGATGAGACCGAATGTGAGATCGATTGTGATTTCGGTTGTGATATCGATAGTGAGATCGATAGTGAGATCGATAATGAGATCGAAAGTGAGTTCGATAGTGAGATCGACAGTGAGGCCGCATGCGAGATCGATTGTGATATCGATTGTGATATCGATAGTGAGATCGATAGTGAGACCGAATGTGAGATCGATAATGAGATCGATAGTGAGTTTGATAGTGAGATCGATAGTCAGATCGATTGTGAGATCGATTGTGATATCGATTGTAAGATCAATAGCGAGACCGAATGTGAGATCGATTGTGGGATCGATTGTGAGATTGATTGTGAGATCGATAGTCAGATCGATTGTGAGATCTATCGATTGAGATCGATTGTGAGATCGGTAGTGAGTTCGATAGTGAGATCACCCGAAGGGTGGTCTATGCGGTAGTTTCAGTATAGTGGGGGACCATGCCAAGAAACACCCTGCTTGCCTCTAGGGTGCCCTGGATTTCTTGGGTTTCGATGGTTTTGATATGGAACGCGTGATGCTCCCACACCAAAAATCAATAGACGTCATGGGGTCTCAGGGTGGGGTTTTATGGAAGGTTTCTTGTGGTCGAGCCCCTACTGCACCACCTTCACCCTCACGAGCTGTCTGGTTCAAAGTTTGCGTCAGCGAGCGCATCACCATTGCACCCCACACATTACGTCAACATGAAGTCGATCTGTATCGTGGCGATCTTCACTGTGCTGGACTGCGCCAGAGCCGTCCAGTTCGACGCGGCGGATGATTCCCCTGCAGCTGCGATATTTGGAAGCGCATGGAGCAAAATCTACCAGATCCAGGATGGCTCCAGCAGGAGCTCATACTCGTTTCCCCCGACGACGGGATCTTATGGGAGCATTACTTCGGGGATCGGGTCCAGTCACGCAAAGTTGTCCGATTCGCAAATCAACGCGATGGCGGTGGCGCGAGATGGCTACTCGCATGTCTACCAAATCAAGAGCTCCGATTGCTCGTCGTACTTGTACGTGCGGTCAAACGACAACTACGTCGACACATCGCCATCTTTCGGCCTTACCTACGGTAACACTCGGGTTTGTTTAGCTTCATCGTACGAGTCTTGTTCGACCTGGGCACTCTGAAATCCACGGAGCACGGCATAGACCTACTGTACACGAACCCAAATCTCGGTGGTGAGTCATGTTGCCGTTATCCGTAAGGGCGTCGCCCCCTGCCGCCGGCCCCCTCTCTATCATAATGGGGTATACCCATTGTAGTCGGAAGTGCTGTGGGCTATTTGGTGCCAGGCAATAGCAGACGAAAGCATCCGATAGCAGACGATTGCACCCAGGTGCCTTGTTGCCTCCTTTCGGCTGCTTGCGGTTCCTGCTGGCCCCATGGCAGGTGTCCTGCTATCGTCTGCTATCATCTACTACCGTTTATCATCGTCTGCAGCGGATCCTGGCAGTCCTTAGTTGGTCCTATCGTCTGGTATTGTGTGCTGGAGACGATAGCAGACGACAGCCACACATGGCGGCCCCTATCAGATCCTATCGTCTGCTATTGTCTGCACCAGTTCTCTATCGTCTGCAGCTGGTCCTGGCAGCCCCTAGCTGGTCCTACTGTCTGTTATTGTCTGTTATCGTCTGCTGCACCCGTTCTTGGCGGCCCCCAGCTGATCCTATCGTCTGCTGTCGTCTGCAATCGTCTGCAGCGGTCCCTGGCGGCCGCTGACTGGTCCTATCGTCTGGTACCGTCTGCTGCAGACGATAGCATACGATTTCCACCGGTGGCCCTCATGCGTCTATCGGCCCCTCCAGTCGATGCCCTTCCAGAAACGATGCCGCGGCGACTCACCTTGATCAGGGCGAGGATGGGGAGGGGAGCGAGGAGGCGGAAGCAGGATGAGGAGAAGGAGGAAAATGAGGGGGAGGAGGAGAGACAACAGAATTGGGCAGCGGGAGAAGAATGAGGAGTGCGAGAAGGAGAGAGGGCGGAGGAGAAGGTGGAGCGTGAGTTTATATGAGTGTGCGCCTGAGTGTGAGTGTGTCTGAATTTAAGTTTATAGGATTTTGAGTGGTCTGTCTGTGAATGAGTCTGTGTGTTATTGAGTCTGTTTGTGATTGAGCCTGGGTGTGAGTGAGTCTGAGTGCGGATGAGTCTGAGTATGAGATATAAGTGAGTGCGAGTGTGGCGGAGACTGAATGTGTGTGAGTCCGAGTTTGAGGTATGAGTGAGTCTAAACGCTGAGGGCTTTTTGGTGTCAGACGATCGCAGACGAAAGCAGACGAGCACAGGCGATATCAGACGCTATCAGACGATAGCAGACGATACCAGACGATTGCAAACAAAAGCAGACGGTTGCAGACGATTGCGCACAGGTGCCTTGTTGCCTCCTGTCGGCCCCTTGCAGTCCCTGCCGGCCCCGTAGCAGGTGTCCTGTTATCGTCTGGTATCGTTTGCTGTCGTCTGTTATCGTCTGCAGCGGATCCTGGCAGTCCCTAACTGGTCCTATCGTCTGCTATCGTTTGCTGCAGACGATATCAGACAACAGCCCCCCCCCGCCTCTATCAGATCCTATCGCCTGCTTTCGTATGCAATCGTCAGCACCAATTCTCTATCGTCTGCAGCGGGTGCTGGCAGCCCCTAGCTGATCCTATTGACTGTTCTCGTCTGCTACGCCTGCTGCACCCGCTCTTGGCGCGGCCCACAGCTGGTCCTATCGTCTGCTGTCGTCTACAATCGTCTGCAGCGGTTCCTGGCGGCCGCATCGCCTAGCTGGTCCCATCGTCTGGTATCTTCTGCAGCAGAGGATAGTAGACGATACTAGACGGTTGCGGGCCCTGGCAGCCCCAAGCAGGTCCTATCTTCTGCTTTCGCCTGCTGCAGACGATAGCAGGCGATAGCAGACAATAGGATCAGCTTCGGGCTGCCAGGAACCGCTGCAGACGATAGCCGACGATAGCATACGACAGCAGACGGTAGGACCAGGTAGAGGCCGCCACGACCCGCAGCCGACAGAAAACAGTACGGTTTTTTGCGGCAACGCGGCTTCGGCAGCGGTTTGCTGGCCTTAGCTCGGAGACCAAAACAGGGGGAGGACAACATGAGGACGACCACACAAGGTCATTTAAAACCCCGCCAGACCCCCGAATACCCCGTAGGCTTTTTCACAAAAACGAGCGTTCTGGGCCGAACGCGGAATCAACAAGAAAACGCACACCGTTGATCATTGGCATTCGCAATACGAGACAAACCATGTGTATATATATATATATGACAACTTGTAGTGCAATTCCGTCCCTGATCTCCCAAGGGGAATTCCGGGACGGAGGGGGGGGATAGCCGCACGATGACGCATTTCATTCTCTTAATCGACCTCACAAATCTCTCAATCGACCTCAACGTCGGCGCGATAGCGACGTGCTTGGCTTGTTCGTTTCTGTGCGAGCATGCGAGCACGGTGTGAGAGAGAGTGCTGCGGGGACCGCCCATACTGCGCAGTGGGGGCCCGAAAACATAACCATAGCGACCCAAGAAGGCCCCCAGACACGAAGCCGAACACATGGCGCAGCACGGTGTCTGGAATAGTCCCAACACGACGGACGACGACCAACAATGCCCCCCCCCAACGGCCCCCAACAGAGACGCCAGCCGAGATGCTGTACGAAGCTTCCAAGGAGCCTCCAACCCATCACGTGGGAGCTGTCGTGGAATAGGCCAAAAGCCAGTACGCGAAGTTGTGCGACAAAAAAACACGAGCCGTTCGGGGATCTCGAAGCGACGTTAAGAGGAAGCCCAAATCGCCCGCAGGCCACTCCTAAAGAAGACGGTGCGGGTGAAGAAAAGAAAGGACTGGGAGGGGCGGATTAGGGGAGGCATGTGGAACGGTCCGAACACCGACTTCTGCCACATATGAAAGCAAGGCTGGGAGGAAGGACGAGGGGGGGCATGTGGCTGCGTTCCGCGAGAACCCCTTGCAGAGGGCGCGATGGCGGGGGAGAAAGCAGAAGGGAGCGAAGTGGAGTTGGGAGAGATTTTCGAACGTTTCACATACACACACACACACTCGCATTCACTCACACTCGCACTCACTCATACCTCATACTCAGACTCATCCGCACTCAGACTCTCTCACACCCAGACTCAATCACAAGCCGACTCAACAACACACGACCATTGACATTCCGGGTCGCGTCGGTGCGTCTCGGCGCTACAGTGGCGCATTTGGGAATATCATGCTGGGGCGGATAGGAGTCATCAGCGCATGTGGAGACGTTGGCGTTATCGAAGACGCCGCGGCGAATCACCGCCGCCCCCTGCCTTTCTGCAAACGCCTTTGTGGCCGAAAGTTGGGCTTGGCCAAGCTGTCGGACAATGTGTTCCCCGAGTCGGTCTGGAACGCCTTCGGGGAACATGTGGGGAGAGAAAGAGGAAGTGGAGGAGACGGAGGAACAAGGAAGAGGAGGAGGCCTCTTGGAAGCCTCTTGTGGTACTGTCGGGGCCTCCTGGGAGCTTCCAGGGGGCCGCTTGGATGCCTCTCGGGGGCCTCCTTCCGCCTCTTGGGCGCCTTTGGGAGCGTCTTGCCGGCCTCTCTGGCCGTCTTATGGCGTTCCTGACCCGTCTGATGCCGTCGGAAGCCGTCTTGGGGGCCTCTCTGAACTGACTTTGGGGCCGTCTTGGGGCGCTTCAGGTCGTCTCGGAGACCATCGGGGGGGCGTCTTGGAGGCCTCTTGAGCCGTCTTGGGACCTCTTGTAGCCGTCATGGGGCCATCTTGGAGGCCTCTTGGGCGATCTTTGGGCGATCTTGCGGGCCTTTCGGGCCCATCTTGGGCCATCTTCGCCGTCTTAGCGGCCATCTTGGCTATCTTGGAGGTCGTGTTGGTTGGCCGTCTTGGAGGTATCTCGGAAGCCATCTTGGGCGTCTCGGAAGGCTCTTCGGCCGTCTTGGGGCCCTCTTGGGGCTGGCCTTGGGGCCTCTTGGGCCGTTCTGGAGACATTTTGGAGGCCTCTGGGACGATGTTAGGAACTTCTTGAGGCATCTTGGGCGGTCGGAACACGAAAACGGAGGAAATGCACAAATCCTTCAAAAACCTAAGGTTGGTTTCTTCGGCCCTTCCTGGAACACCTCTGGGAGGCCTCGTGGGCCGTCTTGCAAGCCTCTCGAAGGCCTCTGGGACCGTGTTGGGCCATCTTGGACCGTCTTGGGCCGTCTTGGAGGCCATCTTGGACCATCTTGGGCGAACTTGGAAGCCATCTTGGACTCTCTGGGACCATCTTGGGCCATCTTGGCCATCCAACAAAACAACCCCGACCAGCATCCAACGCCCACACCGAGTACAAAAGGCCAACCCAACGACTTCACCTGGATTCGTACGGCCCAAGACACCACCACTGGTCGACACTCGAACGGCAATACGCACACCCCACGTAACGACACTACGCCGACATCCACATCCAGGACTTCCCTCCTCCCCTCCTCCGTCGCAGATTTGTTTTGTATTGTCTCGCTGTCCATATGCATGATCGCGTGTAGTCCATATGTACAGGGTTGAAGAGGCTACGGCCTCCTCCACCAGGTCTCGAGCAGGACAGCTGTCCGCAGTGGTGGTTCGTTCGTTCGCTCGTTCGTTGGAAGCCATCTTGGGCCATCTGGACCCTCTTGGAGACATCTTGAGCCGTCTTGGGGGATTTTTTCCGGATGTTGAGGTCGTTTGCGCGCATTCCGTGTGGCCGGTGCGCTAGGCCGAAGCTCCAGGGGAATTTCTGAGATAATCAAAACCGGAAAGGATCCAGCACGCCAGGCATCCTTGCGGCAAGACCAGAGGGGGCGGCGGATCCGAGTGGCTTTCGGCCCATCCCGCCACCGTGCCTGGGTTGTGGGTCTAAGGTCTCTTGTATATGTGTTTGGGTGTCGTGGGGAGCCTCTTGGAGGCGGTTTGGGCGCCTCTTGGGGGCCTCTTGGGACCCCGTGGGGTATCTTTGGGCCTCTTGGAGGTCTCTTGGGCGCCTCTTGGTGCTTCTTGGGGCCTCTTGACGGGCTCTTGGGGCCTCCTGCGGCTTCTCGGGGCGCAAATATCGAGTGTTCGGTTCGTGGTCCCCTGCTTGGGCACCTCTTGGGGCCGTCTTGGGTCGTCTTGGGCGCTTCTTGGGCCGTCTTGGAGCCCTCTTGGGCCGTCGTTGGGTCCTCTTGGAGGCATCTTGGGCTGTCTTGGGGCGGTCTTGGGAGCTCCTTGAGCCGTCTTGGAGCGTCGGAAAGCGAAAATGCGTGAAGGCCAAAATTCTTCAAACATTTTCGTCAAATCTACGACTTTGGCCTCTTGGGGCTCTCTCGGGAGGCCTTTTGGAGCGCTCTTGGGGCCTCTGTGGGCCCTCTTGGGGCGTCTTGGAACCATCTTCGGGCACCTTGGAGCATTCTTGGCATCGGCAATGCGAATACGGAGTAATTTGCGAGAGTGTATGGCTTCGGGGACACGAGTATTGCATAATTTACGAGGGTGTGCCGCCTCGGGGACGCAAGAATTTTATAATTCACGAAGGATTGTGGCCTCGGAGACGCGAATATCGGGTAATGTACGATGGATTCTTGCTTGGGTGACGCGAATCTCGTGAAATTTGCGAGGATTCGTGGCTTCAGGGACGCGAGCATTGCACAATTGACTAAAGATTTGGGTTTCGGGGGCGCGAAGATTTGTCATTTACAAGGGTGTATGGCTTCGGGAACGCGAATACAGTGTACTTTTCGAGGGTGCATGGCCTCGGGGCGTGATTCTCATGTATTCCACGTGCGCCGCGCCCCCCCAGGAATTCTGGGAACCCTGGGGGGACGCTAACCAGGCTGCTTTTCGGTTCCCTCTCCTCGCGCGGACTTCAACAGTTTACAGTAGGAAGCAGAACGTAGAACTATTACAATGGAAATTGGAACTGGAGCAGGGAGCAGCAAGCCAAATCCTCGCAGCTTGATGGCCCCGCAAGGAGGCCGGCGGATTTCTTCGGGCATGGGACAGTCGATTGTTGGGGTGGCCCGTCGGGCTACCGCTGCGTCAACGGTGGTTCTTCTTGCTCCGGCTACAAGAAGCTGGACGATGTAGTGTTTTACATCTGGGGGGGCAGCGCGGCGACCCCCAGCCCAACGCCGTACCCGACGCCCTACCCGACGGCTTTCCCGACGCCCTACCCGACGGCTTACCCGACGTTCTACCCGACACCGTACCCGACTCCCTTCCCGACGCCCTACCCGACGGCTTTCCCGACGCCCTACCCGACGGCTTACCCGACGTTCTACCCGACACCGTACCCGACTCCCTTCCCGACGCCCTACCCGACGGCTTTCCCGACGCCCTACCCGACGCAGTTCCCGACGGCTTTCCCGACGCCGCTGCCCACGCCCAGCCCGACTCCCAGCCCGACGTATCCGCCAGGCTGGCCGACGCCGCACCCGACGTTTCCCGCTGGAGATCCCATGGCGGGGGGGGCCGGCGCTGCGGCTGCTACTGGCGATCCCCATTTGCAGAATGTTCATGGCGAGCGATTCGATCTGATGAAGCCGGGCAAGCATGTTCTGATACACATCCCTCGTGGAAGTAACGTCGACGACACATTGCTGCACGTGCAGGCTGACGCGCGCCGATTGGGTGGGCAATGTGCGGATATGTACTTCCAAGGGTTGAACGTCACTGGGCGTTGGGCGGATGCCAAAAAAGTTGGAGGGTACCATTACAACGTATCGCAAAGCGTTGAGAAGGCTCCGCAATGGGTTGTTTTCGGTAAGGTTGAGTTGAAAGTCGTTCATGGGCGTACAGGCAGTGGCGTCCTGTACCTGAATGTATATGTGAAGCATTTAAGACGAGCAGGGTTTGCCGTCGGAGGTCTGCTGGGCGAAGACGATCACAAAGACGCAATGACTCCCCCAGCGTTCTGTGCCCAGCATACGTCCCTGAAGGACGTGCCTTCGAGCGGCAAGGACTTTTCATCCGTGTCGTCATTTGCAGTGGCAACCCTGGCGTGACCAGAGGAGACACCTTGGAAGATGCTTACAATGAGCAGGTGCTTGCTCTCGGGTGAGGGCGACGCGATACTCTACGACGCCATGCTCCCGTTGAACCAGTGAGCAGGCGAGCCGCGGCCACAGGCAGCACTGATGTGCCGAGAGGTGCCTTTTGCAACGAGAAGGCTTCTCTCTCCCATCGGTGTGGCGCGTCCTCCGTGTCTTCCTCCACCTCCATTTGCTTCCTCCTCGTCGCCCACCTCGTCCTCCATGTCCTCTTTCTCCCTCCTCCCCCTTTCTCCCTCCTTCCGCAGTGCCTTTTCCCTTCCTTCTCTCCGACCCCCCCCCGCCTAGCAGGGCATTGCGTAGCCAACGCGTTCAGCGCACCCCTCCCACGGTTCGTGCGCCCACAGGGAGTCCCACGCACTGCCGCAGCGTGCGCGCAGGCATGCCGGTCCCCCTTCAATGTCGGCTCACCGCTCACACAGATCGTGCCCCCCACAGGGACCCGATTCCCATCCATCTTGTGGCGCGTAGTTTACGAGGAGAAGGCCACGCCCTGCGCTTTACGCGGCTGCATCGGGCTGGGGCCCTCGACAGGCAACTTCGACAGGCGCCCAAGAGTCTTGAAAGACGCGCCACAGATGTTCCATATTTCCCAACCATCCTGCGGTGCTGTTTCCTAGCTTTAACTCAACAACGCCCCGCGTCACTCCTCACTCCGTCCTCCTCCTCTTCGTCCTCCTCCTCCTCCTCCTCCACCCCCTCCTTCTCCTCCTCCTCCTCCTCCTCCTCCTCATCCTTCTCCTCCTCCTCCTCCTCCTCCTCCTCCTCCGCCCTCCTCCTCCGCCCTCCTCCCTCCTCACCGTCATCGTCATCACTATTCCGCGTCCCATTCCCCCTCCTCCCTTCTTTAATGGCCAGAAGAGGCCGCGGATGGCGCCGGAGGCGCATCGGTGCTCACTTTCATCAGGCTGAGTTCGCGCGGTGGGACCGTCGATTTCGTGCATTGTTTTCTTGTCGATTTCGTAAATCCTCTTGGGTTTTTCCTGTAGCCCTGTTGAAGCCCTGTTGGAAGTTGTTTGTAGGGTATTATGGTCCTCGTGCGGCTCTTGGGAGGAGTTTTAGGATCTTCTTGGGGCGATCTGTGGCTCCAAGGTCGATGGAGACAGCACAACTGCATCTTGGGATGATTGCAGAGGCCTGAGGGTTGGACAAATCGCTTCTTGGAGGCCGGAAAGTAGGCCCAAGGGCGCTCTTGGGGCCGCCTCAGGGCCTCTTAGGCTGCATGTTTGGGCTCTGTTGAGCCATAGGGAGCTATCCTGAGGCCTGAGTTGGTGTGTGGTCATCGTCTCGTCGTCGGCATGGTGGTCGGCGTGGGCGTCTTCGTCGGAGCCGTGCGGCTGGGGGCGGACCAGGAGGAGGAGGATGAGGAGGAGGAGACCACCCACTCTAGCTCTGATCCAGGGACTTTGCCGAACAGCGCCACCACCAGCCTGGCCGGGCCCGTTCTGGGCCCTGGACTGCCGGGCCGCAGGGGCCAGGCGGGTCAGAAAACCAGTTCGGGTCCCAGGGTTGGTACGGCAAGCTTGGTGTTGATTTGTGAGCGACGGGAGAAAACGGGGTCGACTGCGCGAACATTCGCGCGGAAGGTCGAGCGTAAGCGCCCTCTTCGCTGCGCGGTGTGCCAAGCGGGCGGCCCACATAAGCCGCGGCGTAAGGTCGCCACGCCGTCTTGCGCAAGACCCGTTCCTTGTCGTCGCTCATGTGGCCTCTGGCTGTCGGGAAGCCCCCTCTTTCCCTCGAGGAGGCTGGAGGACGCGGCCCAGAGCGGCAGATTCGACGAGGACTGGCCGCCCTGGCTGCAGCCAAGCACGCGGCGCGCTTGCGCCCCAGGGGCGCCCCGAGGCGCCCGGCAGGGCCGCCCACGATCCGATTCGACTCGGCGGCTGGGGCCGCAGTTGTTCGCGTGCATCCGGGTCCTGCTCGGCTCACCGGCGAGCCCAGCCGGGGCCGGGCGCGGCGATCCGATTCCGACTCGATCCTGGACGACTCGCGGGCGATCCCGGCCGTTTCGGACCCGCTCCGATTTCGCGACCCGATCCGGCTCAGGCCTGCCCGGGTCGTCTTCGTCATCCGACCGATCTGGCAGGATGCGGCGAGCGGGCGGGGAGGGCCTGCGGCCCCGTCCGGAGCGACTGCGACAGTGCGTGCGGCAAGGCTCGTAGTTGGTTTGGCGGGAGGTTCCAGAAATCTGAGCTTCGTCTCGGGCTTGCCCCGGATTCCCTTCTCTGGAAGCGCACACGCTTGTGTCGATGGTGCTCCCGAACAGTGTTTGCGGCGGGATTCTTGTTCGGTCTCCAAAGAACTGGCGCTGTGTGGACGGGTTAGCCTTCGCTGCGCCGACCAACCGCCGCCTCTGCCAGTATGAAGCCGCCGTTCAAGTCGCCGACTAGCTTTGAACCCAAACTTGTGAAGGCAAAGCCCAAGGCGGGTCAAGGGGTCCGCGGCTGTTCCAGTGACGTCTGTATGGCGGCCATCATGCTCGTATTACAGTTTCCAGCGGTTCCGAACCCACCTAGTGAAACCTCAGACACTTTTGGGGCAGGGTGAATGCAAAACCAACGGCACTGTGGATCCAGCACGGCACTCTCGCTTCCGTTGCGATTAAAAGTTGACGGACAGGAGCAGATGCAGCCGGTGCTTCCACGAGGTTGGCTCCAAAAGACATCAGCCAGTACAGGCGTGACCTACGTCTACACAGAGGACGGCAAGCGGTCGCAGTTTGAGTGGCCGTGCGACGAGCCTGAGATCCGGCAGGAGCAGGAGCCGTGGTGCCCAGAAGGCCCGAACGCCGAGCGGCGTTTGCCGCATCATCTTCCTCCACGTTCAGTTCCTTACGTGCTCTTAGCCTCTCCTTGAGTCGGGCACGTCCCTCTACAGGAGGAATACTTAAAGATAGTATGAAAAAATAGTCTGGGGACGATGTTTGTATTATGTTTGACTGTGTTTGAGCATTGTTTGTTTAAAAAATGTTTGGCCACACCCGCAGGTAGGAGGACATGCCCAACCTAAGCCTCTCCCCGTCCTCCCCTCCGTCTTCTGTCTTCCCCTACCCCTCCCTCCCCCTGACCTGCCCAAGATCTCCCGCTCCCTCTCCCTCTCCTCCTCCTCCTCCTCCTCCTCCTTCCTCCCTCCTCCTCCTCCTCCTCCTCCTCCTCCCTCCTCCTCTCTTCCTCATCCTCCTCCTCCTCCTACCTCCTCCTCATCCTCCTTCTCCTCTTCCTCCTCCTTTTCCTCCTCCTCCTCCTCCTCCTCCTCCTCCTCCTCCTCCTCTCCTCCTCCTCTCTCCCGCCTTGACCCTCCCGCTCCCCACGCGAGGGGGCCGCTGCTCTTTCGCCATCGAATGGATACCGCCTGCGGATCACCCCGCGGGCCACGTGAGATGCTTAGAGGCGCAGGAGGAGAAGGAGGAGGAGGAGGAGGAGAGTTCAATGAGGAAGGATCAGGAGAAGGAGGAGGAGGAGGAGGAGGAGGAGGAGGAGGAGGAGGAGGAGGAGGAGGGGGAGGATCCAATGAGAACAGATGGTGCCGAGGAGGAAAAGGAACAGAAGCAGGAACAGCAACGGGAACAGGAACAGGGGGGGGCCATGAGGCGGAGGAGGTTGCCCCTGCTGCGACCTGCAGGTCCCCGCCCAGCTCGGGCTGCTGGGAAAAGGCCCCAGCACGCCACGGCCGCGAGGACCCCCCCCCCCCCCATCTTCCCCGGCTCCACGCTCCCCCCCCTCGCCATTATCCCGCCGCGCCTCCTCTGCCTTCCCCGCCCCGTTTCCCCTCCCTTTCCCACTCCCGCCTCCTACACCTCCTCCTCCTACTGCTCCTCCTCCTCCTCCTCCTCCTCCTCCTCTTCCTCCTCCTCCGTCGCTCCTGCTCCCCAACCGTCGTCTTACCCAGACCCTGGCGTCTCAAGCGGATCTCTCCTGTCCCCCCCCTCCCCCTGCCTGTTCCCGTACCCTCTCTATATCTTGGTATTTCATTCTCGTTCTCTTTCTCGTTCTCTCTCTCTCTCTCTCTTTCTCTTTCTTTTTCCCTACCTAGGCTCTGCCTAGAAGGCTTCTTATTCTCTTAGCTTAAAGGGGCCGGGCAGTGCTACACGCCCCGGGCGGTTTCCCCAGTCCCCTGGGAGCGGTTCCCCCCAGTCCCCTGGGAGCTTTAGCTTCAGCTTTAGCTTTAGCTTAGCTTTAGCTTAGCTGTACCTTAGCTTTAGCTTAGCGTTTCGCTTAGCTTTTCGCTTAGCGTTTAGTTTAGCTTTAGCTTAGCTTTAGCTTAGATTTAGCTTAGCTTGAGCTTAGATGTAGCTTAGCTTTAGCTTAATTTTAGCTTAGCTTTAGCTTAGCTTTAGCTTAGCTTTAGCTTAACTTTAGCTTAGCTTTAGCTTAGCTTTAGCTTAGCTGTAGCTTAGCTGTTGCTCAGCTTTAGCTTTAGCTTAGCTTTAGCTTAGCTTTAGCTTAGCTTTAGCTTAGCTTTAGCTTAACTTTAGCTTAGCTGTGGCTTAGCTTTAGCTTAGCTTTAGCTTAGCTTTAGCTTAGCTTTAGCTTAGCGTTAGCTTAGCGTTACTGTTACTACTAATGCTGCTTTCCTAGGGGTTCCAACTCCTAGGTAGGGTCGCACTGGGATAATTTTTGTCTCTCTCTCTCTCTCTCTCCCTACGTGTACATATATTGCACGCATAGCTGTGTCTATATATATATATATATATATATATACATATATATATATATATATATATATCGGAGGTGAGGGGGTGAGATCGAAGTGGAACGGAGAGCCCCCCTTGCCGGGAAATCGATTTCGGTTTCGTGTTCGTGCGTGCCGTGCGGGCGAGGCGAAGCTGCGTGGGCGGGCGAGAGGAAAGTCTCCTGTGGCTGAGGCGCGGCCAGACCAAATGATTCTCCGCCGGGCGGCCGGTGGCGCGCGGTGTCCCGCCGGTGTCCCGCCGGTGTCCCGTGTGGCTGAGGCGCGGCCGGACCAAATGTCTCCCTTCCGGGCGGCTGGTGGCCCGCGGTGTCCCGCCGGTGTCCCGCGGTGTCCCGCGGTGTCCCGCGGTGTGTCCCGCCGGTGTCCCGCGATGCGATGATGATGATGATGATGATGATGATGATGATGATGATGATGATGATGATGATGATGAAAAGATGATGATGAGATGATGATGATG